CATTATTATCACATCGCGGTAGTGATTATATAATAACCAAAATTTTTCATTATCCATTTACATTGCAAGAAATTTTATTTGCATGAAAGATTGTAGGTGTAAAAAAATTCTGTAGATAATACCTATAAGTTATTATGTGACAGCGAACAAACAGCAAACATCGAAGATATACGATAACAATAAGGAACGTTCAGCTTCATTAAGCGGTCGGGTAAGTAAACGAGAAGTTAATTAACGTTGTATTATCTAGCAAAGTTTAGGAAGCTCGCGGTTTCCTTCTCCAGCGTCTAACATAAAGTAAAGTCTACAAACTTCCACGCGGATAGCTGCGGGAAGAAATTACAAGTGGCAGTAAGCGAGACAGGTATCGCCTTCATTACTGATGATTGTACTGTTAATCAATGTATCCGGCGTAACTAGTCGATCTTATCTCGGGAAACAGTAACGTACTGTCACGTAGCTGCAGCGCGCCTACAGAGATAGAGAGAGAGAGAAAGAGAGAAATGAGGCTGTACCGAGAACACGTTCTACGCAACTTCCTATAGTTATGGAAACAGGCATCTTCAAGATAATTGAGTGCATGTAATACTCTCGCGTACACTTTCTCTTGATCGGAAATACCGGTAGTAAAATTAAGAGAAATCTGTTGTTTCAACAGCACGGCGTCGATAGTTTTCGTATCATAAACAAAAAGTCGCGTAGCAACTAAATTTTCTATCAAAATAAAAACAGACTATACAATAGTTTATTTTAAATGCAATGCAACCAAGTTTGAAACTGAGATAGCATGTACGAAATACATGTGCATATGCGCATAAATTGACGTACGTCGCAATACATCTCACTACTGCACTTTGTTTGTTCATACTGTAATATCCCATACTAAGTATATTATTCCTTATGGTTCAATTATTTGTACACTTAAAACTTTCGACATAAAAGCTTGAACGTTAGAGTAAATGTGTTTACTCGTGTTCTTTCCCATTGCTTTAAAAGAAAGCTGACTATATGGCATTTCCCAAAATGGATTAAATTCAGAGCAAGAAATGGCACTTACAAAACAAATTTTTCAACAAATTCCGTGTATTATCAGTGAAACGAATCATATCATTATGCAATGTAGAAAAATCTCATTCCATTTAATGAAAATTCTTTTTAATCTGTAAATATCCATAAGATTTGCACGAAAACTGTATCAAAATTTTTCACCACGTCTATATAAGAGCAATCTGAAAAAGTTTCGGAAGAGCGGAATAACATGTAAATCTTTTTAAAATAACCATATACACAGGGTGTTGTGTACTACCCGTCTCACCTCTTATTTTCGGATAGAGCGAATTAGACTGACAATGAGTCGAAAAGACCTCTACCATTTTACAATTTTCGCAATAGTTAACGAGTTATTAATTATTAAAAATCGCTGTCTTAGCCCGGCTCACCGCCCAATTCGAGCGCGCTGCAAGATGCGATCGTCCCGCAATCGGCGTTGCTAGACGCGCGGGAAGTTGTTTATTATACGCAGCCCTTGCCATGTGTCATAAACAATTCCCCGCGTGCCTAGCAACGCCGATCACGAGCTTGAATCAGGCGGTAGGCCGGGCTAAGACAGCGATTTTTAATAATTAATAACTCGTTAATTATTGCGAAAATTGCGAAATGGTAAAGGACTTTCGACTGAGTCTAATCAGCTCTATCCGAAAATAAGAGGTGAGGCGGGTATTACATAACACCCTGCATACTTTACGAATAATTTGTAATGACTCTAAAAAAGTGCAATGTAATTAAATTTCCGACATATGAAACGTAAAACCCGAAATATTTTCAGATTTATACGCTAGTAGTTAATTTTTCTTTCCTGCGGCACATGTAGCATTTAATATTTTCTAAATTAAAATAACTGCAAAAGCAAAAATTGAAAAGATAATTTTAAGTCTCACACAACTTAATATTTAATTACGATTCGTTTTTATATTTGTAGCCAGTAATTTTGTAGCTCATTTAGCTTTTCGCGGATTTATTTCGACGGAGGGATGTTCAACGAGAGAAAGGATTCGCGCACAGTCAAGAGCTTCAAAAGCTGGTGTAAAAAAGAACGAGTTTCTATTATCCGTAGAGATGTACGAAAGCCTTCGGAATATTCTGCAGTAAAGCGCGGATATACGTAATCTCAAGCATGTGCGCGACAAACGAGCTTCCCCATTATGGTTTATCGTTTCACAGATCGAAACGGTACAGCACAATTTCCCGATTGATCGATATCGCGACGAGTTAGAATCGCGAATGTATTTTTCTACTTCTACAGCGCCGCAGAGCAAATGTTGACTCGCCCTTGTTTTTGAGTTACGTTTCTTCCGCATCTCCTTGCGCATAGTCTCAATCGAACAGAGTTTTGACATTGTCCAAACGGAAAGGAAAGTTACACGATCGTTGACGAGCTACCATCATTTACGATATGTGTCTTTCATTCTGTCGACGTTCTTATTATCAACTGTTTTCTGCACATTTGCGCGCGCGAAAATGCATGTGTAAAACAGCCGACTTATCGAGCGATAGGCATTTCGATATTTTCTATATTCTGATTATACTATAAGATATATATTGATCAGTATTATGTACTATTATATACAATACTAGTATATACTATTCTAAAAATGCTGCGTTTTTCTTAGTTTTCGCTGTAAACCCTTTCGTATACTTATGATCGATAAAGAAAGAGAGGATTTTTAAAAGAAGTGTATTACAGGCGACGTTTCTTTAAACTCTTAAGAACCTTCGATTTCAATTAAATTCATCTTTTCAGATTGTGTTTTCAATTTTAGCGTGCACACAGCAGCTTTCGTTACGGGTAGATGAAATCGCATCGCTCCATTATGGTTTATCATTTCAGTATACTGACGGAATTGCAGTTTCGGTACGATATTGGTCGCATGCTATATCGATCGACACTAGCCATTGTTGCATCAAATTGTACACGTCGGATTTTACCATTTTCCCGAATACTGAATACAGATATGATCCACTTGATTTTGCCCCCTACTCGCGCCGTCGCGTGTTCCGTTTGAAACACATGTACGATACTTCTAGTGAATTTTGCGAGTACTTTTTGTACAAACGTACCTTTCGCGGAACAATGGCGAAATTAATCAAAATTATACCAGACGTACGGCAGCTACCATCACAATTTATATTCTAATAGCAAATTAGCGGAATTAAATATGCAAATGGATTTTAATTTTCATAAAATGAGCTGCGAGGCTGTCCATAAAAATCGCGTTTATCTTTTCGATATAACGGAGAAGACGTTTGCGCGAATTTCCAAAGTTTTTCCTTTAATTTTCACGCCCTGATAATAATCGGAGCTCAAACGGATCACAATCGAGAAGCCAATTCGCCAACTGGTTCTGCAGTCAGCTTGGCCAAGGAATTAATAAGCACCATCGCGAAGCCTCCGAACCTTTTTGCTCGCCATTATCCAAGATAAACGATGGCCTCTCGGCGCGATGGGGCACTCGGCGGATAGGGGGAGGGAAAACTTTCGAATCGCTCTTGCGTCGGATGAAATTCTGCGGAGGCGGACGCTTCTTGCTCGCCTGACGGGGCCGCGCGCGTATTTCGCCGTTTTCTCAGATCACCGAGCAAATGTTGACCCAGTTTCGCCGTCGGATTGGACGTTACTCTGTCTTTCGAAAGTGCTGACTGGAATACGCGATGAGCGAGAAGTTCGTAGCTGCGGCCCCTCTTTCTTCCACGCGGGCTGAAACTCCCGGGATCGCTGGACCAGGTCCGAAATTCGACGAGAGATATCCGCTCGCGGCTGTTCGCGCGGGTTCTTATATTTACGAACGGCAAGCTTTACGGCGAGATAAAGCTCAACAGCGTGGCACTAACATCTATCTTTACGAAGCGTACAAATTTACTCCAACGTTGAAATTGTGAATAAATATATACTCAGTTAAAATTAACTTTTCATAAACATACATTTAAGCTGAATACTAGTCGAGCTTAAAACATCCTGATTTCTATAATGAATGAAGATGAAAATAGAAGAACAAATTAAGTCCTTTACTTCACACCCTGTGTAATCCGTTCTACAAAGCAACACGATTTTCTGATTAACTTCGTTTAGACGATTTCTCTGTCAGGGTTCTTCACGTGTGCTATGAATACATTTTATGAAGTAAAGTCGATAGTACTCTTAAAGGGTTAAAGTAGTCGCTCTCGAGGGAACCGGCTGAGCTAAGTTGATTCACCTCGTTTCGCGAAGGTGCCTCTTATTACGCGTTGCTATACCAAGTTTCTGTAAGCCCGAGCTAAGACACAGGACGAGGTCGCCTTCAACGCAAAGTCACCCGGCCGAATAAGGCCGCGACTGAATGAGATATAACAGGGTACTTATCTTCACTGGCGAGACGCTCGCCGGTGATGGTAAACCGTATGTCGGCAGATGTTGCGGGAGATGAATAACGCTCTAGCACAGTGGATACGGTTTAATATAATTTTTTCCCGTGTACCCGCTTCTTTTTCTCGCGCCTCCGCATCTTCTCATTTCGTCTTTTCAGCGTCGCGAACAAGGAGACGGATAGGCGGCGGCGTCTTCCACGCAATTCGAGTAATTTGAACGCATCTGCGCGCCAGGTAATAGAATGCATCGCGCTTCCCGAGCTCGCTCCCGATACCCCGAGCAACGCCGCGACCAGAAAAGGAAGTGTCAATTCACCCGAGACACATTTATTCGCGAGCAGGAAAAAGTAGAAATATTTATCCCGCGTGTGATGTTTTTATTCTTATTTAAAATTCTCAAAATGGAAATCTCAGAGAGAATAATTGTGTCCGAAAGAGAGAAGAAATAAATTAAACTGTCATCAAAAATTTCATGTGAACTATCGCTTAGTATGAAAAAAAAACAAAATCTTTTCACAAAATGCACATTCAAGATGAAGTTCTCCAAACGTATATTACGTATCATTTATATTTTCCTCATTGTATTCCGTCTGCCGTTAATGACTGTCACAACGCCATTGCCGCCAATGATCGAATCTACTGTCGAGACCACTGTCACCGACTCGAGTACGAGAGAGGAGGAGGAAATGCCGAGGGTGCCGCTGACCGAGCAGGTTATGGACCACAACATACGAATGAGCGACGTGCCCGACGTGGACCCGGAGGCGACGAACGTGCCGGATTCCAGCCTGGACAGGAACCGGGTGATCCGTGACGTGGCGTATTTTATTCGCGCCCACAAATTTCACGATTACGACCGTCGGTACTACAAGAGAGGGGAGGAGGCTGCGAGCAGATTGTATGAAGAGTTCCCGAAACCCGGTCTGAGATCCCTGCACTGGGAGGTGCGTAAGCACTGCGAGGCGAGTTTCGTCGAGTGCCTCAAGTATCTCGAAAGGATCATTAGGCTTACGGCCCTCAGGCGCGAGGACGACACCGTCACGGTCATGGGAGAACAGAAGTGGAACCCGGTGAACAATACCGAGCAGATCTTGGCTGTTCAAAGGGACTGCCAGATAGCCCAAAGGCGGGACAATCTCACCGCAGTTCCGTTTCAGGGTCCAATTGGCAAGTGCATCGATTCGTCGCGAGCATATACCTAATCACGCCGGAACATTAAGCCCGATTTGCACATGCTAACGGCTAAATCGTTTTCCGATCGAATAACCGAATTAAGCGATAGACTCGATTGTATCATTTACTCTCTCAAAATTAGATCGTGACACTAATACATCGACATTATTTACTCCCTCAACATTAGAGATCTAATTTAGGTACTAATTTATCTAATCCAACTTTTAACGTCACACGCTATAAAACCTGGCAAAACGTAAATCTCGAATGTTTTCACATTAATCCGATGCACACAAGTTCTTACGAACAAATAATTAAAAAGTGATTCTGCGTAAGAAATACTGTTACAAATGTAATGTGATATATGTAGGCTTCTTTATGCCTTCATATAAAATTATACTTAATTCTTAAAGATTCATTGAATTATTGTATTAGTCATCGCTTAAGATACTATAATAATGTGGAAACAAGCACGTTCCAACAATTGCGAATAATTCGTGCGAAGAGTTTTCAGGCTGCGATATTTAAAAACCAAATCGTTCAATTCTAACGTCGATTCTAAAATCGATGAGTTAGTAGAGATAATATAAGATATTATTTCAGTCGCAGACAAACATCATTGAATACTATTTTTCAGAACGCTTCCAATGGCGCACTACCGTCAGCTACTATATGTGCTGGTACACGATGCTAAGCGTCCCGGACTTAGCTACCTTCGGCGAGCCCTGTGACAATCACGCCAACTGCCTTGATGAATATGGTGCTCATAACAAGGATCCACGAGCGGACGACACGAAACCGTACGCCTGCGCCCTGTACAGTTTCTGCCCGGACCATTGTTGTCCCATGAAGCACATCCGGTACATGAAAGACTGTTACCAGTCGCAGAGCAACCCTTGCTACGCTGAGAATCAACCAGGTGACTGAACACTAGTTACAGACATCTACATCGCGCGAAAGGCTCATTTATATTTTCTAGTATAATGGTTGGATTTCATAGATATATATACATGTAACTAAAATACGATTAAAGTAGATCAAAGGTGCTACCGTAGTCCAATGAATGTGCTATTCTCAATTGATAATACTAGGAAACAACTAGTAATTTTTTTTATCGTTACGTTAAACGTTACGACTAGCAGCTATTACTTGCTAGTGATTGTGCAACACAATTAAAATTTGTGTAAATAAATTAGAGCCGTATTATCACAAACTCCAAAGGCAGGTAACTCCACGAACGGGATTCTCGTTTTGTCTATGACAAACACAACGAGCCGGCACTTTACTACGGCCGAGCTTTGCATGCTCGTTTGCATTCCATGTGCGCCGCGCGCGCAATTAACCACCCTTGAAGTCTTTCCACCCCCAAGCGAACTAACCACCGCTGGTCGTGTTCGCAGCGCATCGGAAATGCACGCTGAACCGGGACGAGAATCGCGACTTCCAGGCGCTCAGGGCGAATCAGATTAACGTGAGCTGCGAATGCCATCAGCGCGGTTACGAGTGGTCTTCCAGATTCAGCCTGTGCGTCGATGTGAACGAATGCGTTCGAGGTACGCACAATTGTACGCGGAATGTCGGCGAGAGTTGCCTGAATCTACCCGGTCACTACACTTGCGTCTGCCGACTTGGCTACATCTACAATCCGGAAATAAAACGGTGTATTCGCAGCCCGAATATTGATAGAGCGTTGAAGGGTTACGCGAAAGAATCGAAGACTGTAACGAAAACGAGAGGTCTGGTTGCCAAGATCGTCCAAACCATTACTAGATCTGCCGCAAGTGGCTACGTAGTCGTACGTGGCTATGAAATCAATTTTCCATTTATATTAATTGCATCGATCTACACGGTCATATAAATCTATCGCATCATTTCTTTAATTATATTCACATACACGTAATACACGTAATGATATAATTTAGAATTTTTTAAATAGTTTAAATTATACGTTTTTTACTCTAACGTTCTTATTCTTGTAGAAAAATTGTTAAACGACGCTAATTGACAAATTGTAATTAAAGAAATTTATTGCGAAAATTATTACCTCAGCCAGGGTTTGATCCTGGACTTCCCTACACTCTAGGTGGGCGTGTGGGCACATGCCTCAGTGGTCGAATTGGTGAGACGCCCGCCTAGAGCGTAGGGAAGTCCAGGTTCAAACCCTGGCTGAGGTAATATTTTTCCCAATTAATTTCTTTAATTAGAATTTGCCAATTAGCGTCGTTTAATAATTTTTCTACATTGGTTAATTATCTTACTGGCGTCAAATAATTCTTTACGTTATTCTTATTCTTGCTTCGAGGAATTTTCAATATTTTATAACTCGTGGCATATAATTATGGGACTATTTGTATGAATAAAATATTGTTAAATATATAAAAATGCGAATAATCTGTTTAGACAGATACTCGTTATAAAATTTCCTCACGAGAAAACGGCTCTTCTCATGTATATACGCGCATAAATATAGCTTATGTGCAAAGAAATTATAACGATAAAAGTATGTAAATACTTAAAAAATAAATAGTGCGTCTCTTACATGTTTTGTTGTCTCTTAATTTTGTACAATCTAAAATGGGGTAGAGTGAGGCTATTTCGCTCAGTTAAAAAAAAATATCAGATACAAAATTTGAAAGACAGGGAAAAGCTTTTCAATTTTTAAGTTAGGGATACGTTTTTTGGCTTTTTGTCTTAAAAATTTTTTAACTAAGACAAATAGCCCCGCTCTACTCTAATGTATATGTAATACGTAGATGAATAAATATAATAATAAATGTATATACACATATATGAATTGCAATAAATTTTTATCTCTTTTGTCAGTAATGACGAGCACATTAATATGTCTAATTAATTATTATCAAATATATACTGGAAGTTTTATTTAATCATTGAATCTTTTGTGTGGTTTTATGCGCAGAATATTATTTTTGTGTTAATTAAGAAGTTTGTAATGAATTAATATAACGCTACAATACCGTGGCAATTTACACGATAATGCATTTTCGTTGGTTGCAACAATTTGCAAGTATTACGATCGTTGTCTTATTTAATGAAATTAGTGCATAAATTATGAAAAGCTCGTCAACAACATTATTGTAGTTTCTATTACCGGATTAACATGCACGCTATATGCGAATATGAATCGTTTAATAACAGTACACATGCACCATAATCTATATCAGCACTATATACTGCGTTATTACCGTTTAGAAATATCCGGCCACTTAGGTTGCGCCACAACGTAGAAATTTGTACTCGTAACAATTCAAATTTTAATCTTGCCCGCATAATAGCGCGATTCCGTGTGTTTCGTACACTATCACAAAACGACCCCTCGCCTAACGGTTATTTGTCTGGCTAAGGGAAAAACAATGCTCTCGAGTATGCCGTATCCTATACTTAGCATAAACGGTAAAGTAAACTCATTGTCAGACGGAGCCAAGAAAGAAACATCCGGCGTGAACTCTTAAAGACGTTAAAACTTGCAGAACAGCCAATTATCCTTTGCATTAATACTTCTCGCCCATGACGCGTCACCGTTTGCTAATCTTGTTGGTAAAATCTGTTCTAAAATTGTATCGCGGTTTTCTACGGGATATTAAAAACGTTAATAAGCAATCAATTGAAAGAATATTCATGCGCGAATACGACATATAGGCGTTAAAATTTTTTCATGGCCAAGTAGTAAAAACGAATGCCTGCTGTGGCACATATATTAATATTATAAGGCCACGTATTATCGTAGAAATTACGCCATCGTCAATCTCGATGAAAATGAAACCATTAATTTATTATACAACCCTCGTGAATTTATCTCGAATTAATTGAACAGTTAAACAAGGTTTCTTAAGCGTGTTTTATTGTGTCCGCGACATGAACAATAGAACTTTTTGTGCGATACACGCATCCAGAATAAACTGTGCGACACACGTTACGCGCTACTTCATTGTTTTCGCTATTGTAAAATTTCACGGTATAAAAAAATACCGTCGACACAGAGAGAAATCTGTACATATGCAGAATATATGCGTGGAACGCGTCCGAGTCGGACGATAAAAAATATAGGTGAATCGAGGGAAGAGTCTGGTGAGGTCGGCGATGCTGTTTTATTCATCGACGCGTTCGACCCGCCACGTCTTTCCGCTAAAGGAGCTCCCCCTGCTCCGTGTAATACATAAATGCATAAAGTACGGCAGTTTTCCTTATTTCTGACGTATAATATCATTCGTCAAGGTATGATCGCCTGGTAATCGTTTATCTCGATTTATTGGATGAGGAAGATTGATAACCGCGCATCCTTTTATATACGGATTGTATAATTTATTCTTATTTAATTAAAGTATGTAAATGAAAAGTGAATGTTTGCTATTCTGTTCGACATTAAATACATTGTTCAATTTGAGAATATCTCAATTTGTTCTTCTTATTCATATATTTTGTATTTTATTAAATTGTACGTCGTTTTAATTTTTCCCTAAATATGTATTGTACTTGATAAAGATGGCGTGTACGTAAATATACATGTACAACTGTGAGTGTCCACAGCGTAATGAGTCCGTGGGTTCGCTAAGCCGAAATGACTGTGCGGATCAGTCATCCCTGCGGACTGAATAAATGAGAAATTGAGATGTAGCGGAGATGGGTGGAAGGAAAGCAGTTAACGGTGCTCGTGCTACCAATTGCCGTTTTCCTTTTCTTTTTGTCGACGTGGTTTACGTAACTCGGCTACCAATTCCAAGTATCGCGATATCGCGAACACTTTCATGCGATCTCAATCCTTGTTATGCAATATACGCCACGCTATAAACCGGTTCTATCTTCATACACTCACGCGAACCGACACTACGGTCGTATTACTTACGGCTGCATTTTACAGCTTTGTACACGTAGTTTCTAATTTAAACACGTAATTATAAAGTTAAGTTTAAATCAGTCTTTCGAAAGATTGCCAGAATGCACTCAATATTGCGCTTTGTACGTATACTATTGTACAGTATACAATGAAATTTTTAATAATGTAAAACCCCATTAGAAGTAAACAAGAGAAAAATAATACGGATAAAGATATCTCTCATTATCATTAAAGCAATTAGCATTATGACGAAATGTTATATCGACGTATATATATTTCATTAGTTATTAAAACATATTATTATTATGTATACTAACGAGATGTATGGCAGAGAAAGAAATTCTAGTACAAATAATATATCGGACGACCAGCGAGGCTCATCAGAAAAAGTAATTAACGTGCGAGACCGCTTGTGCGCTTTGCATGCATGGTATCATTATACATATTATCGTTATTGACCGGCCTTTATAACGCTCGGCGACGACCATCGCTGAAAAGCTCGCGGATTTTCATCCGCGTGTAAAACCACGGTTTGCTTCAAATTGGCTTGATTTTTTATTCGTAAACAGCGAACCATCGGGCGCGATTTGTCGGGCCTGGGCATTGAAAACAACAGGCGCGCGCGGACGGGCATGTATGAAACGAAACATGCAGCGGAACAAAAAAATGCACATATTCATACATGGAAATACCGCGGCGGGGAAAAACGAGGCCGGGTGCGGTGTTACAGGGAAATTGCGCGTCGAATAGCCGGACGCATCCGAAACCTGAATATTTTCCGCGCCGTATCTATTTGTGCCAATTGGCCGTCCTAACATCAATTTCAGGCCCCTGAATTGCATCAGTCAGACGCATCATTTCGCTACCGAGGTCGTGAGAACATCTTTGCTTAGATGCCTCCAGAACAAACATATCAATGTCTAAAACCTAAATTTATCTGTATTCTTTAAAATGCAGTTGTAATTTTACTTTTAAATTAGTCATAATGTTGAGGCATAGTGCACAAATATTTAAATATGCAAATAAAATTCATAAAGATCTGACATAAAATCACGAATACAAAGTAATGGAGGACACAAGAGCCAAGACAAGATGTTAGTGTCTAAATGATTTCAATTTTTAGCCATGCCTCGGTGATCGAATTGGTGAGACGCCCGCCTAGTAAGAGATCCAGGTTCAAACCCCGTCTGAAGTAAATTTTTCGCAATAAATTTAAAAATTAAAATCGTTTAGACTCTAACATCCTGGCTTGGCCTTGTGTCCTTTATTTCTTCGTACTTAAATATGCATGCATGCGTTCTAAAAATACTCATTTATAAAGATTTCAGATCTCGTTAAATCACCAATGGAGATATATTAATTTTTTTGCCGCTGGTATGAGATACCAGCTATTATTCGCTACAAGCCGCAAATATAAGCTAACGTGTGATAAAAGTATGGGCGGAAATTTTTACTCCTATTAATTTCCTTGCCCGTAAATCAAAGATACACGTGATGCTTGATCCAAGTAAATAGAGTACTCGACCGTAGTCAAAGCTACGGATTTTATGGTAATGCAAAGCTCACGTAACCGGCAATCTTGGTAAACGTAGCTACGATAAACGTCTCTCTCATTTACATCGTAATACCGGTGACATCGGTGAGACTCCTTGCATTGCCAATTCCTTGCCAATTCAATTCCTTTGCCGCGGTTGATCATTCGACACTTGCAACAACGAAGACACGTCTCATCGAAACGGATCGATTGCGCGGTCCAATCTATTCTAATTGCCATACTATATCTGAATTTATTTTCTAATGCGTAATTTTAAATATTCCTTTAAAGATTAATGTAATTTACGAATAATTTCAAAACAACAATTTGCATGAGTTTACAAAAATAATATAAAATAATAATTTAATAAAACGTAGTCTTTAATCCCGCATACGAACAATAGGCACACATTAGCCAGGATCGTTCAATCAAAATTACTTTCAGTGCTAAAAAGGCGCTTACGGTAAAAATATCGAAAATGCATTTAGAGAGTAGTACACGTGTTTACGCAAACTTCACTTTATGCAACAACACATTGCGTAAAAAGGCCGAGTAATTTCGCAAATATTTGAGAAACATATTAAATAAAATTTAAAAGACGTTATAAATTTTTGTTTAAATATATTTTGTTAACATTTATTAAATGTTCCTCTTTTCTATTGTTTAGTACGCTATTATTTATTATAACGTGTTAATATGCATGAAAAATAGCATTTTATGCAATTTACTCCAAATGATGCATAAGAATTGCGCGTATCATAATACGCGCCATAACATTGTTCCGCTGTCGATAATCCTGCACGCCCGATCGTTGCACCGAGATGTCCCCTTTCCTTTCTCACGAGTGTTATTCCACCAGGTACCATCACCAGGTGGAAGCGGACACCTCGTGCCGTTCACCGTGGTTCGCTTTTCAAACAGGCCCCAGTCATCGAGAATGTCTCTGTGCGAGTGGTACGCGAGCCGCGTGGTGCTCCTCACGGGAGTCACCAGCGAATTGGGACACGCTCTGCTGGAAAAGATCTTACGGTGCTTACCGGACGTCAGGGTGTACGTCGTCCTACGATCCCTAAACGGTCTCAGCGGCGAGGAACGGCTAAAGAAGATATTCGCGTCACCCGGGTACGAACGGTATCCTCCTCGAGTTCACCATGTGCCTGTAAATCGCGCCGGTCGCTCGATATCGCCTTTGTGAACGTTAAATTGTGATCGCGATTCCGGTCGGAGGCCCGCGTGCGCCGAATTTATTCCAGAGAGGACATCGAACTGAAATAGACACCTTTCTTCTATCTTTCTCGCTCCTACCCTCAGTGGCTTCCCGCGAGAATTCCGGGAAGGTGAAGCACCTTACGTTGGAAATCGATGGCGAAATTGCATTTTCGTTTCGCGAGCAGTCGCACACACAATCGGTGACGGAAAGAACCGGCATATTCCAAAATGTTTTAAAACTCAAGTTATTAATTTTAAAAATACCGCGATATTGCATAGCGCGGAGAATTTTTTTCTTCATTCATTCATGATAAACATTTCACGTACGCATTCAATGTGAATTCGATTCTGCATCAATATTATGTGATATAATGCACATATTGTTTATGCATTAACATTTTACTTCCCCACCCAACATTTGACGTGAATCAATGTCCGAAAGTCAAATAAAATAAAGCAATTCAGAACTATCCGATTTGATATCTACAATGTATTCAATCTCTCCTAAAAATTCATACCATTTCACAAATTGGAAATTTACCGCGAACGATATCGATTGAAATGATAGCGCCATTCGATACGCTTGCAATCGCATGTCCAAAATCACGCGGTAATAACGAGGGAATTCGGGACGAGAAAGAGAGATACGATCGAACGCACGTGTTTAGTCAGACGCGCAAACCGGATTGCCTCGTTAGATCCCCCCGGTCCTCGTCTCGTCTCGTCCGAATCGCAAAAGATGCTCGCGAGGTGAAACTCAGCGGTGTTGCATCGCACGGCGGCCCTTTCCCCTCTCGGGGCGAGCGCGGCTAAAGCTCGTGGAGAGAGATTTATTTTCATTAGCACACGCCTCCGTGCCCCCTTTAGAAAGATTATGAAGTATACGCGGCCCGGGGTGCTTTTTCTTCCTTTCTCTCCCTCTCTCCTTCTCGCCCTCGCAAAATCCGCGACCGCGCGGAAAATTCGTCCGCGCGTTTTGAATTTCGCGAAATTAAAATCCGCGAAAGGATTGTCTTCCCCCGGGAAATCGTAGTTACCGCCGGATCGCTGCGTTTTTCCGCTTGAAAAAGAGGATCGCCCCGCGCGTAAATGAGAAAATGCAAATGGACGAGCAGCTCGAGCGTTCAAGGTGCAACCGCTTCAACGCTATTACGTTCGGCGAAATCGCTCTCGGCTGTGGCGGCTTGTCGGATTTTCCTCGCCCTATTTGCGACTCCCCCTAAATTGTTCCGCTTAAAATAGTTATGGTGTTAATTGTCTAAATCTCTAGACGAGACTCGAAATGACAAAATATGCTGTGCACCTGCCTTTGTCTTTCTAAAGCACAGCAAGTGCACAAGATTGAAAAATATTTTAAAAATTAACTACACATTAAATTCAAGGAAACATGAATTAATTTTCAATTTGTATAATATCACCACGTGTTGACTATAAAATTAAATTCGTGTTATATTAATTTCGCAGTGATTAATATTAAATATTTTCATTAGTGTTGCATTGCGCTGCTTCTAAATATCTCTGGTAGTCGTTTCCGTTAAAACGTCGTTACGAGCTCAAAAAGACTGTGCGTCACTTAATTTGAATCTACGTATTATTCGGCGAATGCTTAACATTTTTAACGGCCATTTCGCGCAATCTTTTTCTGTTGCGGCGCATCTCCATTTTGATGAAACCTCCTGGCAGTAAATTCCAAAGCCGATTTGCGTCACCAACGTTATTATCGCCCGGCAGGTACGAGCGACTGAGGCAGGAGATGCCGGGCGCGATCTCGCGCGTGAAAACGTTCGAGGGGAATCTGCTTTACGAGGATCTTGCTCTAAGCATCGAGGACAAAGCCTCGTTGAGGGAGGTCACCGTGGCCTTTCATGCCGCCGGGCCGCACGACAGCTTTCTGGAATATTGTCAGGAATTACCGAAGCTCAAGAGCGTCGCTGTAGCGTCCAGCATTTTCAGGCATCGCGGCAAGATAGACGAGTGTCTGCAGAATGAAAAGATCCCCGAGCTACCGGTCGCCCTGGTGCGTTTGCCTTGCGTCGGGCCAGCTTACAAGGAACCTATGCCCGGTTTCGTCGAGACCCTCAAAGGACCCACCGCCCTCATGATCGGTGCGGGCTTCGCGTTCGGCGATTCGCAATTGCAAGCCGAGGTCGTCCCGATAGACGTAGCAGTAAACACGATAATCGCGGCCGCGTGGCAGGTTGGCATGTACGTATAAAATGCAAATCTTGCATTGTTTACCTGACATTATGTATTTCTAAAAGTTTTATTCATTAATAAAAACAACAAGACCGTATAATAGTCCGGGGGAGGATTAATCCGGCAGCTCGAGTTTAAAGCGCTTTTAATTCTTGTTGCTGCCAACTTTTATGGCTATGTGCGCATTAATCAAACTTAACACGCCGTAACTCATCTCATTGTAATTATTAAATTTCTGCACAGAAAGCCATTTATCAATATACCTATACAATAAATTTACGTAAGGACTATCAAGTTGCTCTAAATATTACGTTCGTTTAATGTTTAATTAGAGAGAGAAAGAGAGAGAGAGAGAGAAAGTCAATGCCGGTGTTAAAGGCGTTCACGTGTATGCAACGGCGTTATGTAATCAACGTTATCTAATTACGAGACATGAACCAGAAAGTAGCAATAGCTATCTCTTTCCAGGAATACATATTGCGCAACCTGTTGTTTTTTCTCAAAGCATGTAGTACTTTTTCTCAGTCCAGAAATATAATTATCGTTATCATGTTTCAATAAAACCCTGATAGTGCTGAGAGAAAATTGCTCGATATCTTTTTACAGATAAATGTTAAAGTAATATTAAACGTAAATGGAAAAACTATTACATAGAAAAGTAGTATTACTGTAATTAATGTTGGCACGACAATCCTGTCTGCTTTTCAAAAGCAGCAAAGTGCAAAAGAAAAATTAAAGAGTGCAAAGTCTCTGTTATACTAGATGTTACGTCCTCCGTCGTGCCCCTTCCACATTCTTTGTTAACAATCTTATAGTTGCCCGACCCAGGTCACAGAAGGACTTGAAACCACAATTTTTCAAGTCTTTCAACGAGTAGCCGACAACGAAATGAATGCATTTGGCATTCCTTCTTTGACTTCCCCTCACGATGACCTACTCCCTGGCCGCCAGATCTGTCTATGGAAGAACTAATAATCTTCTCGATTGACAAATCTGGCTCTTCCACGTTACTTGGCACATTACATTCGGTACTATAACCCGGTGGTATTTGGGCAGCTCATCAGCTGGCAATGCATGGAGAGTATTTTTTATTTTGATCTCAATGGATCGGCGCTTTAATTAGTCGGCTAGATAACTCCGTCATCTCTTCCCTAGACCCGTGAATATAAGGTTCCTACTCATCTTCCTGAACATCGTTTTGGTCCAGAGGTCGAAAAATTTTTCAGAATTCCGAGTAGTTCTGAGTGGAGTTCTAGGCAGTTCTCAACGAGTTCTAACAAAAAGTCTTATGGCGCAAAACGATCGGACCAACGGTTCGCCGAATACCAGATATTTGAACGATGGTCGAAAAATTTCTAAGTCCGGAGGTCGAAAAATTTTTCAGAGTTTTGAATAGTTCTGATTGGAGTTCTAGGCAGTTCTCGACGAGTTTTAACGGAAAGTCTTATGGCGCACAGCGCTTAAGTGACTCAATTCAGAGATACGCGTCATTTTTTACTAGTTTCTAAAATGTCATTTAAAGTGTGTAACTTTTCATATTTGCGGTTAAAAATTTTTTTAATCAGCGAGAACTCTTCGAAATAAACGTAATAACGATATAAATCACTCAGAACTATTGTATCTCAAAATAAAATTTTCAAAGATTTTTATTATTTTTTAATTAACCGAAAAAACTTTTTATGTATCAGGAACTCTAGATAATCGCAAAATGAAGCTATTAGACCATTCAGAACTATTACGATCTAAAATTTTGATAAGAAGTTGGCACACGAGTTTTAAATTTTAATTTCTGATCGTTAATCAACAGAACTCTTTTTATAAAGTATTGGGAACTCTTAAACTCTTCAAAAAGAAGCGGGAACTCCAGTCAGAACTACAAAATTTTAAAGTTGGGGTGCAAAGTTAACACACGCCACCTCAGCTAACTTTTCATCAAGGTCTATGAAATAAAAGCCTGACTATGCGTTTAGCCGCCTAAGCATACAATCGGCGATCTTGCCGACTGTCCGACAGACTGGGAATATAACATGCTTCGCATGTCGAACACACTGCATCCCCCTCCCTCTGCTTTTTATAGTAAACTCGAATCTTATAATTAGTAGATCCGACTTCGCTACTGAGAACTCCACCGATTATTCGCTTTCTAGAGACCTCTTTGTTAAACGCCCTGGAGGACTTGGTCTAAATTATTTATATTATTATCTGGTTCCATTTTTGGTCCCACGAGTATCGCGGTCGCGCGATCTCACCCGGGCAGAGCCGCGAATGCCCGGGGCTTGGCCCGTACTCCCGGAAGGTGCCCGATAGTCATTCGCGACATAGTTCTCCCTGCGATGACTGCGACGGAACCATCGGCACGATAGCTTTGATTTGGGGGGTTTCTCTTCGTGAATCGTACTCCGTAAGCCCTTCCACCACTCATTGTCAGTGGGGAACCCATTCGGGACGAAAGAGCAAAAAATCTCACGTAAATTCAATTATTTATCGATTAACGAATCTGTGACAACCGATTTGTTTGATTAAAATAATTAAATTATTAATAAAAAAAAGGGAGGGATAAAACCTTTTTCTCTCAGTTGCTGGTTTTAACATATCGCAATCGGACTTTGTTGCAGACGCTTGTCTAGTTTTCCAATGCGAAATATTGGATACGAGCAAACATGTTTTACATGTGCGCGCAGTTTCCGTGGTTGCTACTGTTTGCTCGCATTCGACGCTTCCGCTCCAATTGTCTAAAGCGGAATTCGTTCTTTTCGATTTTTGTTCGAGATTCACCCCTCAATCCGCTGCAAGCATGATTACTTTCGTCTGAACGAAATCATAATTTCATTATACCGATAAATATTATTTCGCTAACTTCTCTAACGCATGTGTAATACGAATGTCAACCAATATTGTGAATTGGCATTCAATGCATCGATAGAACAAAACTGTTTTTTCAAATGACCAGAATTTGAAAGACCAATTGTGTGCAGTTACAATATATTATCTATATTAAAAATCAGAAATGCTCTTATATTACAGATATGCCATCAATGTTTAATTGTCGTTATTTCAATATCAGGTTGTGAAAGATTTGTAATATTATCTACATTGGTATAAATATTCACTTCAGTTTCCATGGTTAACTTTTCATTATAAATTCTTGCTGCTGGGATTCACATCTTTCGATGTTATATTTCTCATTCTTATAGGAGCTGTGCAATCTGTACCCAATACAGAAAGTAATTATCGGAGATTACCTATGGAAACGATAATTGAAATCGACAGTTAAATTAGATTATGTCCCACCCACTTGATAGAAATAGTTAAGTTGCATTAAGTCGGTTTGTCGAACGAAGTAATCAAAGATGTAACACAAAAGACAGTGCCCTCTGATTTTCGTGTAAGATGCATCGATGAGGAAAATGATTCACGCAGATCGCATGAAAATAGCTCTGGCATTTAAAATATAATAATATTGTAGTGAGAATATCGACGCGAATATTAAATCACAAGAAAAACGATTTGAATGCCCAGTTAACGATACCCTTTGCGAAACTTTTATCTCTATCCGCTTTAAGGTTTTAATTAGACGATACGCACAACAAGTCGGACCTTTTAAATCGCAAGCTTTATTTAAGTCAGCCAACAACGAACCAATCGAATGAAACTTATAGCTAGGCTTTTCCGGGCTTTTCCTAGAAAACCCGGAGAGCTTACGTTTGATTCTAGTTTCAACCAGAAGCATCTCTTCGCTTCGCTCTGAAGTATTTCCGAACGACTGAACTGCGAATAAGTTGATTGCATTCGCGCAAGAAGCGAGGCGCGCTATATCTGCTTCTTGTGTCTTCTCCTTTCGCTTTTACCGATTATTCTCGTATTTAAGGAATTACTAGAAATACGATTAATGATTGTGATACTTGTTAAAAATTATTTTACTTTAAGTTTTCACGCAAAGAAACGACACACGTTGTATAACTTTAAACTATTACCCGTATAAACTCTCCAACAAGTTTCTTTCCTTTAAACGTGTAGAAAAATTAGCATTTAAATGAGTTTTGTGATGCGATACATTCTTTCATCATCTCATTGCAATAAAATGAATGATGACAAAAAGAAAAATATTAAACTTCGCACACAAGTTATTAAATAAAACGAAATACGCAAAACTATGCCACGAATGGAACAGTTAGTTATCCTATGATGCTAAATACAACACGGAAAAAAAAATTAGCTGCTGTAGCTAAATAACTTAGCAAAAAATGGACAGCTAATATTTTTAGTTGTGATAGCTAAAATTTTTGCTACGACAGCAAACCCGTTTGCTGTCGTAGCAAAAATTTTAGCTATCACAACTAAAAATATTAGCTGTCCATTTTTTGCTAAGTTATTTAGCTACAGCAGCTAATTTTTTTTTCCGTGAAGGGTGTGTGGGGATTGCAAGTGTTCTCTTTTTCATGCGTTTTCTCGTTTTCGCGCAGGACCAATGCTACGAAACCGGTAGTCTATAATGCGACATTGCTGGGCTGCACGTGGGACAATCTGATTAAAAAGAGTCGACGAGCCAGCTGCACATTTCCCTACCCAACCTTCGGAATCCGCGGAATGACGTCCATTGAGCCGCTGTACTGGATTTTGGTACTGCTCCTCGAATGGCTGCCATCCTTACTCTGCGACATCGTCTTCGGTCTATGCGGCAGGAAACAGAGGTACGGACGCGAAATTTATCGTGAAATTTCACGAGTCACGAATTTATCGTCATAGCTTCGTCAACGTCCCCGTCGGCGCGGCCCTTTCGTAGTCTCGCGGAAAATTCAGCGCAGCCATTTTTATCGCCGTCACTAACTTTGCTATAAAAATGATTTAATATCTTTGGAAAGTGTCGAGGTTGTACCCTTTCCGCTTTAACTTTTAATCGCCGTTTCGTAATTTATTGATATTTTATGTAAATAGGATACATAAATTACCAGTGGAGCTATCGCTTAAATAGATACTACAATTTTACTCTTGTATTACGTACTCTTTATAATATTAGATACTTGATCAAGAGGTCACGGATAAGCTGCTAGTACCGGAGTATTGTCTAAGTTTAAAGTTGGTTTCGCAACGCTCTTCTGCAACAGCTGGCAATATTAAATTTGTTCGCGATATTAACTTGTTCAGAGAACGCAACACTATTAAAGGCACTAAGTCATTTTCTAAGAGCGTAACGCTTTATTACTTGATATTACGGTTCAATTTATAAGTTATGAATAGCTTATACGCTGCGTTAAAATGTGCAGCATAAAACTAAGAAAGAAATTTTATGCAATTTTCTAACTACATTATGGAACAATAAATGTTCTTTAATGCGACTATTTTCATTTGTGTATTACGTAAGGTTATTATTCAACGAAATTCAATAACGATAACAAAATTCATCTTGTTTCTATACATTTCTGTATATTTCATTGCTTATATAGTATGTAAAGAGAATTCCCGGACTCTAAGCTTAATAATTTATTGTAGTGGAATGGAAAACAGTGAAAAGGAAAGCATGATACCGTGTAAACGTTCTCTAATACTTTCCACCGTTCTAGGCCTTTCGCTTCTCTTCCTGCTTTCACTACAACGAATTATTAAATTCAGTATCCAGCAACTTTCGTCACATACCGTATAATACGACGATACTTATAAATTCGAGAGATCGCGGGATAATTGCTTAGTATGAAATCTTAGTATTAAACCTATACACCTCAAAGATCCTTCGTTGCATACACGAGTAGTCAAGAAACGATTAAAACCGTTCATATATGGAAGCTTCGAACTTGGTCGATAACTACTCTCGCGAGCAAGTTTCAACTGACGCAAAAGTTTGATCGTGATCGCGAACGCTTACGGCTCGGTCTCTTCAACTTTCCGCGTCGTGAAAGGCCCGCAGCGGCGCGCTCGGTTAACGCGCCGCAAATCGTAAAAGTAAAAGTTATCTGGAACTGCGATTTAGGCGCAAGTGACGTAAACAGGTTCGTCGACTTTCGCTTGCGCGAGTGGATGCCGAGAAAAGAAAAATTGTATCTTCGAACGAAAAACTCGTTCCGGTCGCACAAGTTGCGCCACCGATGCTACTATTTGCTTTGAGAAATAAAGCCTGACGCGGTGATCGCGACAAGGAAACTTTAGAAAAATCTTGACGGGCTATTCCCATCATCGAAATTCACTTTTATGTACATTTGGAGGGTGTTGAAGCGTATTGATTTATTTACGATGAAATTCTCATTCAAACAATGGCTATTGATTAACTTTTTAACAAACTTCCGCGAAACAAAAGTTTCTTTGCAAAAGTTTTTGTAAAGCATCGAAGTCTCAAATAAATAATTGACATCATTTAAATGCGTAACAAGAAGGAAAGAGAAGGACAAGAAAAATACGGTTGCTATAGAAACCGATTCGCTTCATGGATCAAGTTGTGAACGAAAATATTTTCGCTTTCGGCATTCGTCCTGTCAAATACTTTTCTGATTTTTTCGTTTGCTCTCAGACGCGTGCAGAGTAAATCTTGCGCACTAACTTAGCCCGAGCTTTCTTCCTTCTTGAAAGGAAACTCTCCCGTCAAGTTTTCCGCGATTCCTTCGTAATAAGTTGGATTGGAAATTATATAGTTTGCGACGGACGGGGAAAGTTTTTTTATTACCCCGCTCGCACTTAATGGTACTTTGCGATCTTTTTTCTCAGCTACGATTGAAATGGCTATTTAAAAATCAATCTCAAGAACGTTTCATTCGGCGCGTACACGCGTCTATACATATTCGAGAGAAGTACGATTCCATCTAAATATTTGGAAAAAGATCTCTGTACTACGGAAAAAATAAAAGAGAGAAGATGCGAATAGTCGAAAACGCTAAGAGTTCGAGTGCCAAGAGAATCGGGCTAGACGGCATTAATGGCAGGAAGGAGGTAAAAAGAAACGATCGGTCCTAAAGGTAAAACCTTTACTGCTCCTCAGGATTCTCACGGAGTACGACAGAGTTCGTAATGCACTTCAACCTTTGAAGTCAATTTCAACGAGGCCGTGGCTAGCGGAAAGGAATCGCGTGTACATGCTGCAGCAACGTCTCACGAAGGAGGAGCAGGATGTATTTCCGATCGTCCCGGAGATCGACATTGAGAGTTATGTCCTCTGCGCCGCAGCTGCCACTCAGAAGTACTGCGTGAATGAGGACAATCTCAAAATGATGAAAATGATCAAATTTTATCTCTACTTCCTGTCCATATCCATGATACTTGGCGTCGCGTATATTGCTGTGTCGCGTACATTGTTATCACACGCAAGTTAGATAAAAATGATGATGTCTTTAGTACATAAAAAGGTTCTCTTTTTGCAAAAATCTATAAAAGGAATAATATATTGTGCGCGTAACTTGGAAACATCTATACTTTGGATGTTTTTATAATTAACAATCACTTGTGTGATTACGATACTTATAGAGTTGCATTAAATTAAATTCTCACGTCCCACGTTTTTGTGCAGCCTTATTCGATGAACAGTATATTAGATTAAGGTACGATATATTTTATATTAGTAGCATACGTACGTGTTAATAATACGTTAATAATATTAGTAATATGATATTTACTTTATTAAGTTTTGTTTTTTTGTTGAGTCTCGTTCTATTCTATTCGTTTTAGCGCGATTTTTTTTCTAGAGTAAGGAAAGTACTTCGACCATTTACGTCGACTCCGAAGACACACTCGGTTAGAACCGTACGTAACGCTTCGCAAATATTCGTGAGAGTTGCACGAGACGCCTACATGGGAAAATGCCGTTTGGGTGAAAGTTTCTAGGCACGGCAGTATCAACGAAGATATATTTCCAGCACGTTCTCTCTATGCAATATCGCCGTGCTGACTTGTACTCATTCCTCCTATCGAGAGGAATACAAGAAAAACAGGGAATATTATTTCCAGATTTTGTACGTTTTCTAATGGGAATAGGATTGCGCAAAATTCTCGTGAAAGCTGCTCGGTGCATGCAACGCCGCGTTACGGGAATCGTCTTGCTTCAAAGACGAATGCGACGATAACACTTTGAGTAACGATAGTTTAGAACAACGATAAAATACATATAAAAATCTATCTTTCGCTACTAATGCGCTGCAGTTATTCTTAATTTTCGTTAATTATTGGCATTTTCGGTGGAAACAAAATACATTTTATACATAATAGATTATGTACTGTACGTTATTAGACGAATGCAAAAATAAAATTGTATATTGCAGGTAATAATAGAGATTTAATTTGTTTCTTAAAAAAATCTATCTTCTCTTTTTCCAACGCTGTATTTCACCTGCGTTTAAACTAGACATGGTGTTGCAAAATTTATATTATCTAATATACATTAAAAGCTCCCGCATAATTTGCTTGAAAGCTTCCAGTTATTTTTAAACTCATGCAAATTAAATTCTTTTATCATTTCCGCAGTAATACAATCAGGACAGTGACGTCTATCTCACGGTGGGATATTCTCATCACTACGTAACGTACGTCATCCCATTTTTTTCCGCTCCCCGTTGTCAGCAAAAATTTCGTTCGCGTGACCAGCGTGGGAGTTTGAGTCGAGTTATGCTTTTAAAATCCTATTACGTGAAATTTACTAAAGAAAGTTGCGGATTAGTTTCATGAGATATAATTGGATGTGGTAGATGGAATTGCGCTTTCATAATAATAGGCACCGCCTATTCCGTGAAACCAAGTTTCTCACTATCGTTGAGAGGCCCAGTTGAAAGGTTGAGAATCCAAAAAAAATAAGTCGCACGCAGCAGGATAGTGAATGAAAGGAATGAAATAACGGGCAAAATAGTACAGGAAAGAAAGGGAGATCGCAAAGCGAGGAGGACGTGTGTATATTCAATTTAGCTCTAACAGGTATGAATAAGATGTATATATCCGAGTAAATATGTATGTGATTGCTTCTATGCAAAAGTGAGTTATGCCGGCGTGTCTGGAACGATAGAATAGCACATTCAAGGGAGGGAACGTCAAAGGTCCTTTGTAAATCCGTCCAGCGTTTCTTATTTCTATGGAACCGTTTCGCAAAAATCTCTGCACCTATTAACTGTAGTTGAAAATAGCTCCTCGCGACAACATTGATAAGTGTACGCGAGAAATGTCATTGATAACATTTCTTTCTCTACACAAAAGTCTCTTATGTAACCATGTATATTAAAGAATTAAAGCAATACGCATGTGTATTATTTATTTCATACTTGGTAGACAATTTCGATCGATATTTTATAGGGATATTTCAGCGTTCTGTTGATCGTTTTACGAATATCATCGTCTATTAAAGAGTCAAATTTGCTAGTACTTGAAAATTTTCTAATAGTTCTGCCATCGTGCCTCCTCACACTCGCGCGCGACCAAGCGAACGGCAAGAATTATCATAACTCGACAGTCCTGAGAAACGAGAGTCTCTCTCTCTCTCTTTCCAGCGAGTGCCTCGCCATTTCGAGATTATTTACCCCAAAGGTCTGTAAAGTTTTCTAACAGCTGTTGCTGGGCACACCCCGCCCCCTTCCTCGATCTTATTTCGCCCTCACCTGCTACGCGAGCTAGAACAGATATCTTTCTTGCTTGCAGAAGTACTTGAAACTCTCAAGCGGCAGTTACCCGATGTGTTTCTGCACCGTCCGCACGCTCGAATTCCGCCGGAAATTTCACCGAAAACTGAAAAGCCGTATTTCTTACGCGTACACGTGTAATGAAGCGAGATTGAAATAAACGGAAGTTCCGGCGCCACATAGCGACTATTTTTCTTCAATGATATAGAGCCGTGTTAATATATATATAGTAATATTTTTACGTGCAGTATATAATATATACTCTAGTATGATCCCCACCATCTTTTCACACGTTGCAACATGCAATATTTCCGGTAATAAATATAGTTGTTTGTCAGCATAGAAAGATTAAAAGATTCTCGTAAAAGCATTTGATAGAAACATTTTACGATATAAATATGCATTAACGTTTGTGCGATGTAGTCGTCTATATTAGATTCACGTTGCTATCGACTGGTCAAAATTAGACCAAGAAATCGCCGGCAATATATTACGAACAAACTGTACAACGAGTGTGTAACGACGTTATATGGCGGATATGTTACGTGACGAACGTGCACTCGAGCGGCGAACGTCATCAGCGCGAGAGATATTGCAGTAATAAACGTAGGGCGCACCTTCTTGGTCCGATTGTACCGGGTGAGATTAATTGCGGCCATTCTATTTCCTTGGTAACGTCGGGACTCGCAAGCTCGACCACAGCAGCCGGATAGATACAATGGTCGTGCGTGGTTCCAGAATCAAGTGAAATATAAGGAAAACGTAGATTCAGTGGCCCGTCACGGCGCGTTATTTTCCCCTTTCCGTTCAATTAAGGATTCCAATTGATGGTGTTTGTAGCTATCGCATGCACGGACGTGACTTAACCGTCCGCGACAAAATAGGACTCCCGAGGGGATGGAAAAGACTTGTCGCGCGGTCGCGCCGACGACGGAGACCACGTGCCGTCGAGAGTTGTTTCTTGGGTTCCCGGTCTATCCAGTCCTTGGCACGTCTCCCTCACCGCGAAACTATCCCTCGGCCATTGTACTTCTTAAAACCTGGACAATAACAACGACTATCCGGCGGCTCTTCCAGGAGTTTTATTGCGGAAGCGTATAATACGCAGCCGGAACGATCGTCCGCAACGAATGTCGCGTACGTTTTGTGTAAAGTTTCGGTCGCGAGTCTCGCAGCTAATGCAACGTACCATGACGATCTGAGCAGTTTCGCAGCACGAAGAATATAAGAATCGAGAAAGATTTTCCCCAAATCTTTGTGCGCTTTGATACTGTGATGAAGAAAGATATTTTCACTCCAATGTGAACATCCCTCATATCTATACTAGCATTGAACAGTTGAATCCTTGATAGAAAATAAGAGTGAGAGCGCAAGCTTGATTTATATCAAACATCAAATATCAGAAGACGAATCGTATAAAGTTAATAATTGTACAATCTCAAGCTCGGTGTAATTCGGTAGAGAAAATTGTAACAATTGTTTTGTGACTTGAAAAGATTACGTAAAAGAAGCTAGAAGATTACACTGAACGGTTCAAGTAACATTTTCTATGGCGGGAAAGCTATCTGGATATCTTCTTTGTTCACGGCGGAGCAACATTGTTAAGAGGTTGTAGAATTTATGTGGCGGTTAATTGGAATAAGGACACGAACAGCTTGCGATACAACTCCGTTGTTGTTGCACAGCTTTTCCTTTATGAGTGTACAACTACAACCATTCCCAGTATCTTCCAATCTAGCGGATTAAAGAACGTAGATATAATCCGCAGCGCAGAGTAATTTCATTGCCGTTTTCAGAGTGTACGACTTTCTGCTCTTGCCTCTTTGAACAGTCGCGTGAGTTTCAACAAGCCCGAAATTTTTTTAAGGACATCATAAATTCCTCGTGATTTCGTTTAATCAAGCTACGACACGCGGGAACGGTCTTAGGTATGAATCATACATAGGACTTACTGTTAGCACGACCGACGACCGGGAAAGAATATCGAAGAAAATGCACGTCTCGAAGCCACGAACAAAGAAGCGCGAGGAAGAGAAAAATGTGGAGGTATAGCCGGGTGTACGGGGAATTCAGTAAAAAGAACACGGTAGAAAATGGTTTTACTCTCGTAACAACAGCGGAAAAGAAGGGCGGAGAAATGATTTACGTACAAGCAGCAACTACCGTCCACATCTACGCGTGAACGAGATAGCGCAAGCGTGACAAGGAAAAGACGAAAATTATCAAAACTTCCTTCTATCGCAGCCTTCAATTCGATATAGTTGCGGATTGCTATGCAAATCGTAATGATCGGTTTCAATTATGCAGAACCGTTTAAACGTTTATTACAGACGATTATTATTAAACAATATTTTGTACGAGAAAATAAAACTCGCAATATTTTTACTATTATATTGTCGGAAACGTTCGTTAAATCAGAAATCTTAATGCCTGTTGTTGCAACGCAGATGCTATTGCAATACCAATCGCACAAATTTCAATTTAATAATCACAGTGCAGAGTGGATTGTTTGGATTCAGACAGTGCTATATTTCACCGAGGCAACGTAAATTTCGCGAATGACTCTCTAAGTGGAGAAGCTTTTCTCGAATGAGCGTGTTACGATAACGTACTACGCTTCATCTACGCCACGTTAAGCTAAGCTTTTCAGCGTTCTTTTCCTCTTTCGTTACGCAGCATCTGACAGTTTCTCGTCGACGCTCGAGTAACCTGGGAACCCACCGAGTGTTAATTGAAAATTCTTTTTCACCCGACCGGCGGACGTCGAGCTTGCAGGAATGTGTACCGCGAGATCTATTTCTATTCCGACAGATCTCTCTCGATGGTTCTTTGGCAAAATTTGATGAATCGAAAGTACTTTCCCCAGTTCTTCTCAAACTCAAGTGAAAACTGATCTATCGGCGTTCCTAAGTAAATACACATACACTATGAACACTGATGAGAACCTCTAAGATTCGCTCGATTCGCGTGACTTCCTCGCGCGGTGACAACAGCTAGATATCCGTGTCGGTAGATGGATACGCGATCTTAGCAGAGTAAACGCCGGGATGTAAGCTCCTCGGAACTTTCTAAGTAGCAGTTTGATATACTGTGTACATACGTCGAATAATCTGAGATCCGCTGACATCTAGCCGGACCAGAACACTTTCCAGCAAAATTTAGGGCACAAAATTATCAACTAGAAACGCCTGTCTACCACACGTATATAAGATAAATTTAAATAAAATGCAAGTGTGTATATGAGATACGCGTTAATCAAATTAATTTGACCCAATTATTAGTGTAAAAAAACGTGAAGGTGTTAGTTAAAGCGTATAAAGTTTAACGGAATAAAGTCGCAGAAAACATCGTCGTACATCATCGACGTGTTGAATTTTTATTAATATTACAATGAACCTTGTTACAAGCACAGAGACATTCCTGCAGTAACAATTTCAAAGAAAGTGACCTAGAATACTCGCGAACATTTGTACAGACATCCTCGATGGAAAGTACTATTCAGGAGCGAAAGTTCTACAGACGACGATGAAATTATCAAGGAAATGGAAACCTTCTTCCGATACGCCTCGGAGACCTTTTACGCGGAACGCGGTTTTTGTTCGAGGAATCATAAAATTGCAGGAAATAATGCAATAGTCTCTTCTGTCGCAACTTGTTAAAATGTCAAAGATTGCATTATTTAGTCGCAAGAGCAAATTGCAATGGTGCATATTCAATATCCTAAAAATGACTGAACATTACTGCAAACAATGTGCACATATGTCTCTTAGTGTGTTCTGCGATTCCGACACGAGGTTTCGTAAAAAACTCGTCGAGAGTTGTGAACCTTAATGGCGGTACAGTAGAAGTGGTGCAATAATGATGCAAGGTACCAGTTGAAGTCTCTTTACTTTCCATTACGTCTGCCTGCAAAAGTTTGCGAAAAACGTCAAACAAACAGATCGTGCTAGATTCCCGTACTATCGCTCGGTTAACAACCGGCTGTTATAACCGTTACAATTCGTCCGGCCCCTTTCAACGTTGTGTCGGCCGTTTCCGCGAGCGTTTAATGTGCTCCAGCATTTCGCGTAATTTGTGCCCCCGTTCCTCATTTGACAGGAATTAATTTATTTCTAGCCCATTCTCCCCCCGCGACTCGGGACGATCTTATGTAAGCGCATTATGAGGCAAGTTTCCGCAACCCACTCACGAACTTGGTGCGTGCGGCGAACGTCGCGGCAAGTCGTGAGTTACGTCTGGCAATTAACGGCACTCCGAGCCGTATAATTGCCATTATTGTATCCAGTGTTATCCTTGTCGAGAGAGGCAGAAACCGCAAGAGCAACGAATGCCGCGAGTAGTTGTTAAGAAAGTCACGGGAGAAACGCGACGTTGTGATGCGCCAGGAATCTTAATGAACGCGCGGACAGTCGCGACAGCTAAATCCGTAGCTTGAAATCGAAACGAACTTGTTTTACGACTTCAAATGGAGAAACAAATCCGTGGTGCTAATTTTTACTTAAAATAACAGCCGCTGATAATTATCCGATAATACCCTAATCACGTGTACAAATTAAATTCACCCGCCAAACTTCTTTGAAATGTCTTTTAGAAACACTATACACTTTCTGACACTGACAAGGGAACGGTCGGAAGTGTCCCTCACCAATTTCGATGCGCTTCAGATATATTGTAGAGCGTAAAAAAATCCTAAACATGTATTCTCGACGTTTAGGGGGTGAAACAACCCC